TATGAAATAGAAGGTTTTATACCATACATATTTGTATTTATATATTTCTCATCATTGTTTTTAAAAAGACCTGGAAATGGAATCGTTCTAGTCATCAGTTTTTGGGTCGATAGTTCGGCTGTCCGATTCGAACGGATAGTCCATTCTGACAATAAAAATAAAAAAAATAAAAATCGACCATGTTGAATGGATCAACAGTTTGATCATCCGAATTAATGAATCATTGACTAATTCAATGGTTTTTAACTAAGAACAAAGTTTGGAGTAAAATGGAACTGGTTGCTTGGATGGTTCCATGGCTGAATGGTCTGACCATTCAGGTCAATGGCGGTTCAAAAACCATGCTTCTCATACTGAGTTCAATAGTTTAACAAAGCAATTAAAGCAATTACTGCCATCATAAGTTCTTAGAATACCCCCGACTCCCACCTGGACCCAGGTTTCCATGGCTTGCACTGTTTATATTCAACCTAAAATCACAAATTCTTGGATAATTCCACAAAACCCACTTAGAAGTCATAACAACTCCCCTCTTTCTAACAAGATCATCAACTGGAATGAAACCATACAGAAACTTCCACATAAAGAATAGGAATTTTACTAGAAGGCCTAGAACAAGAACATCTCTAAGGCCTCATTTGGCATTCCTTATTTTAAGGACTTATCTCCTTTTACAGTTAATAACTCAAAATTTTTAACTGCAAAAGGAGATAAGTCCTTAAAATAAGGAATGCCAAATTCTGCCTAAATCTAATTAGATCCCAATTAAGCAGAAGAAATCATGAAGGCCCCTTTTGTATTTTCATTCCAAATGAGTCGATACCTGTCAAACCCCAAACAACAATTTGATTGAATTGCAAACTGTTTAATGTGCACTGAGACTAAATTGATATTTTCAAAATACCACTCTCCATTTCCATGGAGAACCTATATTTGAATTGAAAATCTTTGATGTCTGAAACTTCCCCTTTACCTATTATCTAATGACTATTTATAAGAATCACATCCTTTAAATCCATCATCTCTTTAGAACTTGGAGCTTGAAGCTGCTCTATTGAGCAAAGGAATCAGGGTTGACTTGATATATTTGGAATGAATAAATTTAACCTGAATACTTTGAAACTCTTAAATAAGCCTTAAATCTAAAAGCATAAATAATATCAAACAAAGATCAAACGTCCAAACCCACTTCTTGGGTGGGTTTACAAATTTTTTACCAACTAACCTAATGCGATTTATTTCTAAAATTAGAACTCCCCGAAAGGAAATTGTTAAACATGATATGAATTTTATTTATTATTGTTTTGGGAGGATAAACAACACTAATAGCATAACTAGTCAGCTGTTCATTAAAAATAAAACTAGAGGATATTTCGTGAACCATTTGATTTTTAAAGAATTTCATAAATCAATTTTAAAAAACTTAAGGGTCAATTTGGTTCATAGCTGGGGTTAGAATCAGAATCGGAATGGTCTATTCCCATAGTCTGTTTGGTTCAAACAGAAATGAGAATGAGATTTGGAATCAGCAGGAATGGGATTTCATTCCTGAGGGGCAGGGAATGGCCATTCCCTCAAGTGGGAGAATGCCATTCTAGCAGAAATGGGAATAGGATTCTAATTCTACTCAACCAAACAGTTGGAATCAGAATAGCCATTCTGATTCCGATTCCGGACCCCTATTCCCATAAATCAAAAGGGGCCTTGCATTCTTATGTATTTTTCAGAGTATTCTTTCCCAATCAACAGGCTTTGAGACAATTCATGTGTTTCCATCGTATATTATTTAAAATTATAGCCTTAAGGTTCATCAAGCAAAAGCAAGAATAATGTACCTGACAAACAACTTCAGCCTTTTTACCCTTTTGAAAATTCTATTTTCTTATCTCAAATTCTCCTTTGTGGAATTGTGGTGTTACATTTCTATTTAGTTATCATGTAAGCATCATGTAGGCACTTGGTTTTACCAAACCAAAATCATGTTTGGTTGGACAGGTTCAAGTACAAATATTTATATCATTCTTTATATCGGGTTATGTTCAAGTATTACTTTGGGGCCTTGTTCGCTTTTTAATAAGTTACTTATCATCAGGTTATTTCTCAAATAAAGCTATTAAATGTGACATTTTTGTCTCATTAAAGTATTGGCAGCTTTCTCCCTGGTAGAAAAGTTATTTATACAACTAAGAGATGGACATCACTTACCCAGGCAAGTATCGTCCAAGAAAATAAATTTTCTCTGGTCCCTACATAAATCTGAAATAAGAACATAAAATTGACCAACTTTCCCCTTCAAAATCAAAAAAATGAATGCCCCCTACGTGTTTTATGTGGTGCCAATGAAACCACATAAAACACCTTGCTTTCTGAATTTTCATTTTCATGCTCTAAATCAAATACAAATATTGAGACCTAACTTACAACAATACCAAATTAAAACCATCTATATGATTGGGAAAAATCATTTAGGCTTATTGATTTGATGACAGCATAAGATAAACTAAATTGAATCCTAATCTTGTAAGATTCTTAATAATTACATATCTTGTATTCCAAGAGGTCCCTTAAAAGTAATGGGGTCAAGGAGAACTATCAGTGCTTCCTTCCTATCAATGATGAATGCATTGACTTTAAAAGGTCAGCACTATCAGTTATATATCTACCCCACTTACAGAAGATGGCAGACAAAAAATCAATATAAAGTAGACCTCTTATCTTCTCTGTCTAATCCACAATTCCCTATTCGCACTCATAATTTATCTTTTTCTTGGGTTAGAGTATTTACATCTCCACTTAGTTTCTTTAAATAATTAATTAATAAAAATCAAATTAAAGGTGACTACCCTCCACCGAGCAAACTTGAAGAGAAAGAATCAAAAGTAACTCTTTATTTAAGAAAAAGTAAAATTCGAGAATGAATCTACTGGTAACCTATGAGAAGTATTCATTAATTGCTGAATCCCCAATAGAAATATAACTTCAAGCATGTAAGCACATGCTGCCTTGTAACTACAAATGTATGGTTTGTATGGTTTGTATTTAGATATTGAAGGTGCATTTCTATAGGAGAGTAGGGATTTAACAACGGATCTTGGTAATAGACAACGAGCAGATCGTAACACAATAATATGGAAGACTATGGGGGTGCTCTGTAGTGTGGATGAAAAATTGAGTGATGTATTCTCAACTATACCACACCTGTAATGTGATTAAGAATTCGCCATGTCACAACATAATAGGTGTTTGTAGTGTGGAAAAAAATAGGTAGCCTGAACCACACCACACCAATATAGGCATTCTGCAAGGTGTGGTGTGGCTCAAGCCACACCTTATGTTTTGATTATATGTATCTTGGATACACTGTGAGATAATCTATGACATCGATCAAGAGTAATAGTTTTTGCTTTGTAAGTAAAATACAAATTAATTTAACAAGTGATCAATTTAACCATAGATAATACAAATTAATGAAAAAATAATAAATGTATTCAAAAAATTAATAATGACTAAAGAATTAAAAGTAATATAAAAAGATAAAACACACATAAGATAACTAATACTTATGATAAATAATTAATAAGATATCAATATAAAATTATTAAAATTAATAAACACCATAAAAAAGTAAAATTCCGACTTTTAATAACAATTGTAATGGTACGATAAATATTATTAATTAGATATAGGACAAATAATTAAAAATTATTGTTTAAATTAATATACATGCAAAGTACTATATATATAGGGAGAGAGGCCTGTGGCATGGTTGTGGCTACGAGATAATAGTGTGACCGATATTTTGGATTGTAACGTAATCCACACCACAAGATAGTGGATTTTAAACAACACCACGCCATAATAGAACCCATTAAAGTGGTGCGGTGTATTTTGAAACCCACTATCTCGTGGGTTCACTACAATACAGAACATTGCCTACATCATTTCTATAGTTTCACATCCATGTTGGGGGCAAACCTTTAAATATGGTAAAAGTGGCAAATGCTATTCTCATTGCATTAAACCCTAGAGGTTGTTTTATAATAGCTGAAATAGCTGAACTGAATGAGATTATTTTATCTTTTAGTGAATAAGTTTCTTAATAGTTGAAACAAAGTTAAGTTGATTATCATTTCTTCAGATTCTGAACTGTCATATTGCTTCGTTTTTCATTTAAAAAAATAGTTAAATAATAATATATTTCAATGGTATAGTCTATCCAACTTCAGCCACTTAAGCTGGTATCAAACAACCTACCTTACAGACTGTTTGGGAGGGCTGTAGCACAAGGGTTTCTGACTCTTCAAGGTGGGCCCTACATAAATTGGTGAAAATTCTGAAAATCAGCCTTTGAATGTCAATCAGTCATTTGATCTACTTTGAAGTCTGCTTCAGCCTCTTCAAATAACTTATCGAACATGCTTCAGAGCGGCCGAACTAACCTGAATTTTCAAGTCAGCCCCACAAACAGGGCCCTAGGCCCAAGCTTCTTTGGGCTTAGTATGGTAATGCTGAAATTACCTTAATATCTACCCACCCTGAATAATTAACAAATAACGGATAAAATGGAAATTCAGCAATACAGAAAAGCAAGCAAATAGATACAAAGATTCTGGACTACCCCAAGAAACAACCCTCTTTCCAAGTTACAAGGAATCTTTTCCTGAATTGATTATTAACTGGCAACAACTCCAATCATAATTAACATTTGCTCAAGAGATTAATCTGGATTTGGTCCAATCTTAATTAAGTAATTAACTAAGCTGCCCGCAATAAACGGGTAGCCGTGCCTTACTGTCCAAATAAAGTGTTGACTTTTTCAAGTAGGAAACGTGGCCACGCAACCCTAGACTACGGCTCGTACCTCCCAAGACATCATGCACACGTGTCAACAACCAGGTACATCCGTACGTCCTTTATTTCACTTTCACAATATAACGGTGATCTGCACAGCCCCTAACCTCATAAGTCACAGCTCTTCTCTCTCCTTCTTCTCCCTTTCTCTCTCGATCTCTCCATCTCTTTATCTCTATCTCCTTTCTCTCTCCCTCTTCAGTTGGTGGAGTTCTGTAAATCAGAAACCAGAAAGCAGAAACCATGATGTATGAACAGCATGTGAGGATGGAGTTAAGGAAATCCACGGAGCGGAGAAGACCAATCAAGGAAGAAAAGTTTGAGGTCGTCGATCTCAGCGGCATGTCTCTCGAGTCTCTCCCCAATCCGTCTCTGAATCTCGCCATGATCAGCAAGCTAGATATCTCCAACAATAATCTCGAGGTACCATTTTACCCATCCATCATCTGGGTCGTTCTTTGTTTCTGCCTTTCCGCTTATCTTATTCTTCAAACAAGCCTTCCGCTATCTATAGTTTCTGATTAGCCTTTGGGTTTCTATTTTGCTTAGGTTTTGGAGTTCTTTTTATCTTCCATATATCAAATTTAAATGCAGTAAAATGAGTCTCGGATTGTATAGTTTCTGGTTCTTCTTCTTCTTTTGAAATTATTCTTTCCCCTTGGCTTCATAAACTCTAAAGGTCATCCAATAATATTCTTTTATTTTTCTGTTGTCTTTTAACGTAAATTCAAGCATGACTGTTAGCAGAAAATCTTCGAAGCATGTCTCTTCTTCAGCTATCTTATTTTATTCCCAGATTTAACTTACCTATTTTTCTGAAATGTTAACAGAGCATTCCAGAGTCATTAACAGCGAGACTGCTGAACGTTGTCGTGTTAGACGTTCACTCAAACCAGCTTAAATCTCTCCCAAACTCGATCGGGTGTTTGTCCAAACTCAAGATCTTGAATATCTCTGGCAACCTTGTCGAATCCCTTCCTAAAACTATCGAGAATTGCAGGTGAGTCGTTTCTTCTTCTTATTCTTCTTCTTTTCGGTTTAATTAGTGAGAGTAAATGTTATTTATGTAATGGTAAAGCGTCATTGACGGGTGTATTAATTATATTTTAGTGGTCTGACCTACCACCTATCTAGTCGCTATACGTCAATCAGACGTGGAGCTTTCTTAAAGTGTAACCCCACGCGCAGGTTAGCCGAAGCCTCGTGAAAACGGTCTTCGACAAAAGCTCTAGAGTCTAGACGAAGACGGGGATCCATCCCAGGCCTCCGCCACTACCAGAAGCAGCTGGCCACTTTAACACGTTGAGCTTATAAGCTTATTTTCTCAGTAGTTTGGACTTAGGAACCGGCGTATGAAATAAGTCGAAGATCCGACGGTTAGGATAATCGGATTGGCCCATTAGTGTTTGACTTTGAGAACCTACATGTTTGCCACGTGGAAAATTGAGAAATCCCTTGAAGTTGAGTGATATAAATGGAAGTCCAATCAACGTATCAAACATTCAAACCTGCGCTCGCTTTGAACGCGGTGACTGCATGTGTGCCGCAGGTGTCCTTCGGCTCATTTTAGAATTAGCTCCACAACTTAAAGCAAGGGTATAAATGTAATTTTATTCAAAGTCACCGATAATCTTATCAAAATGTAATGGGTCCCACGGTCACTGGACTGATCTTAACATCTCACCAGTACAGTAGTATACAAATAGAATGGTTGAATGTTGATGGGTCGTCAATACTCAATACTCAATACTCAATATCTCAGTGGATACCCATCAAACGGTGTTGCTCTGGCCACGTCTTGGAACTTGGCATTTACAATAAAACGAAAGGATATTATGGTCATTTGGATTGATTTTATTTTTTTTCTCATGCAGGTCGCTAGAAGAACTGAACGCAAACTTCAACAAGTTGACCAAACTTCCTGACACGATTGGGTTTGAATTACTTAACCTTCAGAAGCTGAGGGTCAACTCAAACAAGCTAGCGTTTCTCCCTCACTCCACCTCCCATATGACCTCCCTGCGCATCCTAGACGCACGCCTGAACTGCCTCAGATCCCTCCCCGAAGGTATGGAGAACCTAATCAACCTCGAAGTGCTTAACGTGAGCCAGAATTTCCAGTACCTCGACAGCCTACCGTACTCCATAGGCCTCCTCTTGTCGCTCGTGGAATTGGACGCGAGCTACAACCAGATCACCACATTGCCGCCGTCGATCGGGTGCCTCAAGAAGCTCCAGAAGCTCAGAGTCGAAGGAAACCCGCTGGTTTCTCCGCCGATGGAGATCGTGGAGCAAAGCTTAGAAGCAGTGAAGGAGTACTTGAGCCAGAAGATGACTGGCGAGAGCCCCAGGAGTCCGATGAAGAAGAAGTCGTGGTTGGGGAAGCTGGTAAAATGTGGGACATTCAATGGGCCCATCCTCAGTGGGACCCGCGAGGAGAGGGAAGGGTTCATCATGTCCGATTATCGGTCCATCGACGGTCTGACTTCGCCCAGGTATATGGGGATGTTTTCACCGCGTCGTCTCTTCTCGCCCAGGAATTACTTTGCAAGGTGAAGAAACTGTTGAGGGCGTTTGAGTTTGTCATCTGTGACTTGTGAGGAATGGTTGGCTGCTGGTTCCTTAATTTAATGGTGTATTTCTCCTTTGAAAAACTACTCTATGGATATGTGTAGACCTATACCGTAGGTCTTTGGGATGATTGGGTGTTGTTATATACACTGTAAGTATGGTGAGTCTGGTGGGTCCTTTCTATTGGATGGTAGCAGAAGCAGCAAATATACTTTTTGCATGTCTCCCAGATGATGACCCATGAGCATGGGACCCATAAAAGGATTATCTTCCATGCCTAAAATGATTGATCATAAAATATAGACCATCCGATCTGGGTGTTCCATGTTTCTTTTCCTCTTATTTCAACGGTAAGATGTATGAAAAGCATATGGCTTGATCTTGACAATCAATTTTGGTATTTTACCATGAACATATTAACAGAAAAAAAGAGGTCATTAAACATTAGATAGTTTTGCGTAATGCGAGGCAGATTTGTCGGACTTGGACCGGATCGAATGGTCGGACCGTTCAGACCAGAAGTAGCAGTTTATTGGTTTTTTTTTTTCTTTTTTTTTTACTTTATAATTAAAAATAAATCAAACAGTTAATTCACCAGGAGATGTTAGTACTAGAATCGATGATATCATCATCGGGAGATATTCCTAATACAGGATGTACTGTGGGGCGTCCCTTGTGGAGCACAGATCTGAACTCATGAAGAATTTACATCCACACCCCACTAGGAGGCACCCCACAATGTCCCACAGCACATTCCTACCGTATATTGGGAATATCTCCCAATGATAATACTAGAATCAATGATATCATCATCGGGAGATGTTTCTAATACATGACGAGGATGTGCTGTGGGGCGCCCCACAATCTGAACTCTTAAATGAACGGTTACAACATTGAGAAGGGGAAGAAGTAGTCTTAAAGCACTACAGCAATGCAACATTAGGTTGAGCCGGGCTGAACCTTATCCAACCCAAGCCGTGCTTTAGTTAAGCTGATTGGGTCTTGATTTGTCAAGCTAAACCGACTCCAATACAGATTTTTAAAAAAACCATTTTATATCCTAGAGGATTAAATGGGTCATTTTCACTTTCAAAACATGATGGAAAGGCTATTTTCAGGCAAAAATAGAGGATATTAGAGATGCCTTTAATAGATTCTTAGACAATGAATAAAATAATAAAAGTATTTTTATGTGGCATTGCTCAAGCTTGAAATTTTCACTTTCATAAAGTTAATTAAGTAAATTTAATAATTACAATAATTAAGACAATTAAGCAATTAAATTACTTAAGGAATCTAAGTTAATTAAAATAAATTAAATAATCAAAGTGAATCGATCTAAATAAGTAAATTGAGCCAATTAAGAAAGGTTTTAAAAACCGACCAAAATGGAACCGTTTTGACTACCGGTTTTTAAGTCAATAGTTCAATCGTCTAGTTCGAACGGATAAGCCCATGATGTTTTTGAAAAGAAAAATAAAAACGGCTCAAAAGCCATTTATCTTATCGAATAGTTTAGTGGATCAACAACCATTCAGGTCAGCAATTCTTGAGCAAGTCAATATTTTTTTAGGGAAGTTCTGGGTTGGTTCCTAGGTTGAATGGTTCGACTACCTAAGTCAATTATGATTTTAAAACCATGTAATTAAGTAAATTAAGAAAATTAAGCTAAGAAAATAGAGTAATTAAATAATAAAATCTTATTAAGTTAAATAAGAAAATTAAGTTACTGTTAATTAAATAAATAAATTAATTAAAAAAATCAAGTAAATTAGTTCAATTAAGAAAATTAAGTAAATTAAGTAAATTAAGTGATTGTTAATTTACTATTGGTTACGCTCATTAAGTTAGTGTTTAAGTAATAATTTACTCTTAAGTTCTTAATTATTTACTATTAAATTAACACATTGTTAATTTAATGACTAATTTGAAAAACAAATCCTTGAAGTAACTTATTTCAAGGTTAATAATTTATTTTTTAAATAATAGACTTTTTAACATCTAAAGCGGCTTTTCAAACTTTAGGATCTAAAGTGTCATTTCCACATTAACTTCATCTATTTTTATCTTAAAGTGGCATTTCCATCATAGTTTGAGGGCAAAATGGTCCTTTTAATTCTTTAAGGTCTAAAATGTTTTTTTTTACAAATTTCATGGGTTTTAGAGCCAAAAATCCTATAGAGCAATGTCAAGTATATGCATTGGTTAAATTCATTCTCAATCATAATAGGGGGCCCACCAGAGGATATACTAAATACATGATTTTGAAACCTTATTAAAGGATAATTTTTTCTTTTGATAAATTATTAAAAGATGGGCCATATTATAGAGTTTATGTATGTGTACAACTGTACATAAATCCAAAGTCACATACCGAAGGTTTCAACTAAGGGTGTAACTTAGGAGAGCCATATCTAAGTCCACCCCAAACCAAACTAAGACTTTGCATTGATTAGTAGTATGGACTGTTATATCAGTGTATAACATCAAGAATCAAATTCTTTGATTTTGGAGAATCGAATTCCCCCAGGGTCGTTCTAGCATTGTATTAAATTGATGAGAGTAGAATTTATCATATTTTTATCTCTAATTATTCTGTCTTTTATATTGAATTAACACCTAATTTGACTCATATCTCTGTTCAAGGCATGAAAGAAGGCATCAGGAGCAAAGAAAGACAAATCGGATGATTTTTCACAATTTCGACATTGTTCAGTAATCTGGGCCTAACTCGCGTATCCGAACTCCGAATGGACTGATTCAGGATCCATTGGAAAGATAAGAGAAAAAGACACAACTTTAATGTTTTGGTCTTTCACAAATTCGGCCTGCATCGAAGTCAAATCCGGGCCCGAAGTCACAGCAATTTCATAGAAAGGCCCAATCCGTAGCTAAAGCTCAACTTGCAGAAAAGCCTGGCTGAAGCCCAATTCACAGAGGAGGTCTAATATGAATCCAAGAATAAGAAACTGAGAAGAGTCCTTCCAGATCTAAATTCTTGATGTAATCTTAGAGAGATAAGAGGATTGAGTTCATTAGATAAAAAGATAAGATTAGAATTAGGATAGGACTTTCTATTCTTGTAAAGATCAACTTCAAGAGGAAGTAGGATACCACCCCCTCCCCTTTAATCTATATAAAGGAGGGGGCAGACCAGCTTTWGGATCACACAATCACTTGATCACTGAATCATTCAATCATTCAACTTCTGATTTGAATCAAGGAGCAAGGAGCAATCAGTCAAGAAGGGTTCAAGAAAGGTTCAAGAATTCAAGAAACTTTAAGAAGAGGAGATCTCAACACCATGGGCGAATT